GGCCTCCCCGAGGGCAGCAGCGCCCCCACTCGGCCACATTCGGTGCTGACCACAGGGTTCCTGAAGTGCCCTTGTCCCCTTTCTCCCCAGGGAGACCGAGGCCTGCCTGGACCCAGAGGTCCCCAGGGGGCTCTTGGGGAGCCGGGGAAGCAGGTCAGTAGCAGGACACCTGGAAGGGCCCCGTGGCCCCGTGGCTCAAGCCCCGAATGCCCTTTGACCTCACTGTCTCCGTCTCGCCCTGTAGTGCCACTGGGTCCTCCTGTCCTCCAGCAGGACACTGTCCCCAGGGCAAACTCAGGCAGTGGGACAGGGGCAAGGGTCCTGTGCACCTCACACCCTCATCCTGCCTGCCGGGTCCAGCTTTATGGGGGGTGAGGAGGGTGGGGGGAGCCGGGAGTCGGGGGGACACGTGGAAGAGGGTCAGAGCAATCTCCCTGGCGGTCAGCGCCGGACGCGGTCAGTGTCCGTCTGTGCCAACTCCCATCTTTCTCTGACCTCAGGGGTCTCGGGGCGACCCTGGTGATGCTGGTCCCCGTGGAGACTCCGGACAGCCTGGCCCCAAGGTAAGCCCCTCCCCCTGGCCAGGGGCCTGAGCCTGTCCTCAGCTCTAGAGTGAGGCCTCCCCGGGGTGTGGGGGTGCTCCTGCTCCCATCCTGGGCGGTTGCCCACCCTCCCCAAGGGGGTCCCCCGGAGACCCGCCTCCCAGCCCGCCCTCAGCTCCTGCTGGCCACCACATTTCCCGCTGGGCCTTCCCTGACTGCCCCTTCCCTGACTGCCCCCTCCTCCAGGGAGACCCTGGCAGGCCTGGATTCAGCTACCCAGGACCCCGAGGAGCACCGGTGAGTCCCATTTTGGGGTGGGGACTCCAGGAGGGGCGGGCACTGTCCTGGGGGACAGGGCGAGGGCAGGGAGGGGACACAGGATTGCAGGTCGGGGCAGACGCACGTCCCCTGAACTGTCCCGGATGCAGTGCAGGCAGCACGGCCCACAGACCAAGGTTCCAGTCGCCGTTGGGGGGCGCTGCAGAGAGTTCCAGGCCCCCGCTCGTCCCGGGGCAGCGCCTCTGTCTTCGGGGCTTGTGCCCAGTGACCCTCTCTCTGCTTGCTTTGCAGGGAGAGAAAGGCGAGCCAGGTCCGCAGGGCCCCGAGGTACGTGTGTGGGGCCCCCGCCGTCCGCCTGCCAGGCCGGCCCTGCTTCCCCCTGGCCACCCACCTCAGCCACCCCAGCTGAGGCTGTGCCGGTCTCTAACCCAGCTGGCCACCTGAACCACCTGAGCCGTTGCCATCCAAGCAGCCAGGCGCAGGCCAGCCAACAAAAGTGTCCCCGAGCCCAACTCACGGGGGTTTTGAAAGGCTGGGAGGAGGTAGGCAGAGCTCTCCTGAATGTCCCCTCTGCGAGGCCAACCCATGTGTCCTGTGTCCCAGGGAGGCAGAGGCGATTTCGGGGTGAAAGGAGCGCCTGGGCGGAAAGGAGAAAAAGGCGAGCCTGTGAGTGCTCCCAGCCTCTCCCCTCCTCCCTCCCCCTCCTCC